TCGATATGTAGTACGTACTGAAAGTTAATAAAGTTGCATATTTTTCAATGCAATAATTATTTTTAGCTTTAACAGTGGCGTGCGTACGGGTATTGACTTTGATATTTTTTAAGAAAAAAATAGTACTCCAATAGTTTTTTGCCTAATAAAAATTATTTTTCAATTCCCCGTTCAATCTAAAACAAATAATCTCACTTGAATTGTTTTCCTTCGATGCGCCATTTTGAGTAAAAAAATAACTAACTTGCAAAATTATTATTAATTTAATTGGAAAAATTAAACACATTAGGTCTAATGAACAACAACAACTGACAACATAAACATAACATTAAAACCAACGAAATGATTACAAAAATTGTTAAATAGGGCCCCCTTCACTTAGTATGCATGCTTCCGCCCTCCTCATGGAATTGCGCACTCGTTGAAATATCCCTGGAGTGTTTTTTATTCTATCACAAGCTGAAACTACTCTTTCTCTTAATTCATCTACAGTGTTAATAGGACTTGTGTACACTAGTGTCTTAAGATAGCCCCACAAAAAAATCTAAACTGCTGAGGTCTGGGGACCTTGGTGGCCATTCTTGGGGCCCACCGCGGCCAATCCAACGATTTGGATAAACAGTTTGTAAATAATTACGAACCGCTACACTGAAATGCGCTGTTGCACCATCATGCATGTACCACATATTGTTTCTTATTACTAAGGGAACATCATCAAGCAGCAAAGGCAACTGTTTCAACAATTTCAGGTGTTCTCACACTTAGAGGTCTACCTTCAGATGTTCCTTTTCGGACAGAACCAGCTTCAACAAGACGACGATGAATATTAGGAAAGGTTCGACTATCTGGCAAAGCACGATCTGGATATCTCTGGTGATAAATCCGTCTGGCTTGCTCACCATTACCGTCGGCAAGGCCATATACGTAATGCATTTCCGCCATTTCTGCATTTGAATAATTCACCATTATTAACAAGATTGTAAAAACTAAATAATGAAAAACATGTCACCGCGAACAGATTTGAATAGCAGATACTGATTAGATGTCAAAAGCCACTGACATATTCCAGAACAACTAGATATTTATTGCTAAATTATATTCTTCAATTATTACATTAATTTTCTCGGAAAATAGAACGATTTTTATTTATTCACTCAATAATGGCGCAACAAAGGGAAACAATTCAAGAGAGATCATTTGTTTTAAATTGAACGGGGAATTCAAAAATAATTTTTATTTGGCAAAAAACCATTGGCGTACCATTCTTTTCTTAAAAAATATCGAAGTCAATACCCGTGCGCACGCCACTGTTAAAGCTAAATATCAGTTAAATATCTGAAGCGTTTCTGAAAATATTAATTAATTTCCATTTTTTTCATAAAACTTCAACGCCCCGAGTTTTTGTAAGGAAACATTTATGGACCATAGTATATAAAGCAAACTGACATTAATTTTTTATGTAGATTCACACCCTTAAATATTCGCATATCATAAAGGAACACCTTGTATATCCATATCCAGTTTTACTAAAATGCTTTCTAATTGGTCATTGTTGATCGGGGTCATACGTTTTGATCTCAGGATCTAGTGAAAAAATATATTTTTGTGCCAGGTGATTCATAATCAATTTAATAATTCAATAAAATGCGGATTAGAGGCCCTTCTTTTCGCTAGTTTGACATATTTGAGAAGAAATTTGGATCCGGACCAAAAATTTTGATCACACGGATCAATAGTAAAATTGGGCCTAAGTAGTAAATATATATATATATATATATATATAAAAAATATATATATATATACAGGGTGACTTCGAAGTTGAGTCATTTATTTTAACAGTGAGTAGATCTGATCAAAAGAAATGTTTTTTTCCTTTACCATTTTTCTGGTAAAATTAAAGTAACAAAGTTATAGCGCTCTGGAAGTTTGAGTACCGCGCTGTCTCAATAATATTATGTGCTCGTGTTTGGCAACAACAGATATAATCCGCCTTATCGGTTCATCGCATCGGAAACAAAAAAGCGAAAGAATTTGGAACGATGTTTTTACAATTATTTTATTCAGTTGTATACATATACAGTCAGTGTCAGTCGGTAACGCGTGAGTGAATAGTGGTGTCTGTTGCGTGGCTCAAACGAAATCAAAAATGGCACATGTTTACGAAAATGCTGTACTTGTGGACATGATTCTTATTGACGCGGCATCACGGATATTGCGGATCGGTTTCCCAATCGAGTGCAACCAACCCGGTGCTCCAAGACCGCACGATCAAATACAGGTCCGCACTGAAATACTTGTCGGGAGGATACTTTATAAAACAAGGTAACATTTTTTTTTAATTTTTTTTTTATTTTTACACACATATTTTGGTTTATCTTCCTTCTACAATCATTATCTGAAAATTAATGACTCAACTTCAAAGTCACATTTGGCAGAAAATAAAATTAATAAGCAACGCATTTTTTTCATCTAAGGAGGCTCTGACTTTGACGTTAAATACTTCAAAGTATTAAAATTGTGTTTCATTAAGTAGTAGGTACGTTTTCTCTCATTAGAATCATAAATCTGCCAAAAAAAAATGTCAATGTCAAAACCTGTTGAAAATGGCCGGTGTTCCCTATTCAAATGAAGAAAAGTTCGACTGTACTTGAGGTCACACCACCACACAGAAACGGCAGCCTCATAGAACCCAATCTAGAAAAATAGTAATTATTTAATAAACCATGGGGAATTCGAACAACCTAGAAGCGGATACAACTTTGAAAATGAAAATCGCGACAGAATCATTTTACAAGCAATTGGTGTGTCAAAATCAACAGTACAGAGAGCGTTAAATAAGAATAAGTACCACCCATACAAACCTACAATAGTTCAAGGACTTAAGGAAACTATTTTTCGAAGGCGAAAGCGCTTCTGTTAGTGGTATACTTGGAAGTCTAATGAAAATCCCGATTTTGTAAATCATGTCTTGTGGTCCGATGAGGTAGGTTTATGAATTGTGGCGTTTCGAATAAGCACAAAACTCATCATTGAGCTGTGGGAAACCCTCACGAAGTGGCAGAGAGACGTCTACAGACCAGATTTGGAACTAACGTTTGGTGTGGGGTCATTGGTAATTTAATCCAACTTACCTTTTTCAGTTGGGCACCTGTTTGAAATTAGGTATTAATCATTTCAAGAAATCGAATTACAGGACCATTTTTGCTTGACTATAATCTAAACAGACAGAGGTACCTAGAGCTTTTACGAAACCAGGTTGTGCCGGCTTTACGAGCTAGTCTAACCGAAGATGAGTTTAGAAGAACCGTTCAAGTGAGTAACTTCTTATGAGAGCAGTTTGATGAAAGAATAATTTCATTAAATGGCTCAGTATGTATATTGAACTCATAGATTCCCTGTCCTTTCACACTTGGATGTCTACCTCTGGGGTCACACAAAAATGAGGTCTATGAATTTAATCCTCCCGCGACCATAGAAATCCGGAGACAAAGAATTTTTAGTACATTAGACACATTAACAGAAATACACTAGCTAAGGTTGTACGAAAAACAGTCACCAATTGTCAAAAATGTCTGGATGCAAATGGACGTTATTTTGCAAATCTGTAAATTAATACCTACTTACATAATAAGATTTCACATTACAGTTTTGTAAGATGTTTGTTTGTTGAAGTGCAAAATAAATCTACGACGATTTTTCCGACTTGTTTTTTTAACATACTCATAGTTGGGAATTTGTCCCAAAACATTTGACTTGTTGAGAAGTCGATATTAACGTTAATATTCTATTGAAAATTCAAAGCGTTTATGTGTTTTTCATGCCTTACTAATTAATGTTATTTTCTCACAAATGAATCATGACCTTCTTAGAAAAAACTAATACATAACATTACGTGTGATGATATTTCGGTGATACTCCAATCTGTTATGCACTTGTGATACATCACTTGACTGGAAATTTTACACTATTTTAAAAAAACAAAAAATCCAATATGGCAGCCATTAGAAAAATGAAAGTTGAGTCGGGTTGCTGGAAAACAAAAGACGATTGAAACATGTCATACATGCTATCTTTTTTTGTTAAAAAATTTTCCGAAAAATGTCATATATTGACAGCTATCAAATTAACCGTTTTGGATTTACTGGCAAAAAACAAATTCCCCTATTTTCGTTTTTTCGCTGGTATTTTCAAAACCAACTGACCCATCGTAAATCTGGTGCCGGCTATCGAAAGCACTAAGTTTGCTCTAGAACTTGCCCCATTCAACCTTTGATGTAGGTATAACAGGAGCCAATATCCCTGTATAGAGAAGCGAATCTCTACCCAAAGAATCCTGTGTTAAATTTGTGGTACATACTTAATTAACACCCTATAAACTTATACTAGTTGTTCTGTTGGAATCAGTTTTGAATTAGTAACATGTTTTTACTGTATTCGTGTAAAACAGTGTAATAATACCATCCTTGGAAACATGAAGAATTTTATATATGAGTTTATTCCAATTAATATCTTCACCACAAATACCACAACATTATATCAAAACTAAAAATGTTACCACCTATTTTCCTGGCCGCGAAATAGCCACGAGTCGGTTGGGTTGAAGGTAAACATTTTCGAAATCAGTAATGAACATCGGATTGACAGAACTTTATTTTGGAAATACATGCAAATGTTTGCGGTTTGAGCTGTGAATAATAGTATTTGTAATTATGAATGAATAATGTAAATATATTAATTGGCCAGCAGAGCAGCAAATATGGTTAATGTGGAAAAATACTCTTAGATACTGTACCAGAAACGGTCTTATCTAGACACATGCAACTCATATTGAATAACATAACCATTAATGACTTCTTTCGGAGGTGTTTATTATATAATGTAGACTAGAATAGTCCAGATAAATATACGAATATCGTAAAAGAAGGTTTTCAAGAATGTTTGATCTCGCCCTAAAGAACAGTTATCCAGTATTATATACGTGATAAGTAAGATTGATTTACCTTTCTCATCTTATGTTCAGTCAACAACTGCAGTACCGATTCACATGAAACCACGTTGACGTTCAGTGAAGCAGGTAACGTCAGTGCACATCGGCCGACCTGAATTCGATGAAGCTCCTGCAAAACTGCGTTCGTCCCTTGTTCTGTACACCCCTTACCCGTTGTAGACGCGTGCGCTCTACCTCCTCTTTGAGGATGGAGGGAATGTGATATAGTGGAGTGCAGTTTAATTTGAAAAGAACTCTGATTGATAATCCAGAAAATGAAGAACTTGGGCTAGGACTAGCGAGATCTAACAGTCCAAGAAGATTTTTTCCTTGCCGTTACAAAACTTAGAAGAACAAAGTGGTTGCCATAGCGGTAGTAGAGAGCTCACCGATCACTCGTTGCTGAGAGAGAGACTTGAGACTGTCCGTTAGGTATGTTCATCGATCATTTGGACAGCTTTTCTCTGAACAACATCAAGTGCGCACAATGTAGGTGGAATGAAACCACCTCAGTCATAAGAATAGTATTCCAGGCCGGGCCTTATTTGTGCTTTTTACAGAGTGAGGATGTTATTTGGAGAAAAGTACATCCTATCCTTAAACAATTTCGTTTGGTTTATTTATTGATCCTTAATACACTTGCGTGCTTACACAGGTCAGGGTAGAAGGTAAATTACAAAAGTATATAATATGGTTTGGCATGTGTCATATCACACGTAAACTCCGTAGGGCTTTTCAAAAGACGTTTTCGGAACAAGCTATCGGACTGCGGATTTTATGACCTAGGTGAATTTGTCACATTCCACAGTGCTTCTGATAGATCTTAACAACTAATTTATTGCCATGTGTGTATCATATGGTTTTTTATGTTCTTATTTATTATATTGTTATTTGTATTTTACTTCTTTTTATCTATATTTTAATCTGTATACACCGACTTATCCAATGTCTACAATGTAGATCTAACTGGATCAATAAATGAATCTGAATCTGAATCTATAAGGTCACAAAACATAAAAATTTGTTGGAAAGACTAACATTAACAGAAAACTGTAAAAACACATCAATAAAAAAATTCTAAAATGATATTGTGATTCTAAATTAAATACAAAACTATAGAACAAGCACATCCGAACAAATTAACAAACAAAACAAAGGAAAACAGGCACACTACAACACAATTATAAAAGATCCGAAAGGATATTATTTTAAGATTCTCCGATGGTATAAATAGCTTTATTGATAAGGTAAGTTTTAATTCTACTACATACTATATATTTAAATAAGCCGGGCCAGATATTGCCTCAAGAAATTTTAAAAGTTGATTCCATAGTAGCTAGAACCGTTTCTAGTTCTTTACAGAAGATGCTTAGGGATATCTTACTTATGCATATTACGTGTATTGTAACTATGTACAGGGTGGACAACTAAGAATGCGAGGTACTGTATTTAGGAACCTATCCATCGTAGAGGCTTGCAGCAAAAGCATTTATTACTAAAATGACCAAGAGAAAAACCTGGAAAATATTTTCAAGTATCTGAAATGATCGCTAAGAGGGCTTAACTGCAATCTTGAATCTAAAAGACTGATGTTCCTGTGGATACCGCTATATTAATCTAAAAAATAATGATCTTTAAATTTGAGGATAATCTGAGCCTTTTCTGTTTGACAATTTTTGCTGTATCTCCAAATATAAAGTCGTGGGGGATATCAAGTGTTTCCATAAAAAACACCCTGTATCTTCGAAACTACTATGTCAAACTTGGGCTAGTTGAAAAGATCTATTTTTGGGCTACAAATATTTGAAGTTTTGTAGTTGTACATGTGGCCGCCAGAGTGGCTTTTATCGACATTCCGACAGGTTAATTTTCTCAAGAAAATTAAATTCATTTTTCTTATGAAAAAGTAGCTAAATGATGTCTAAACAAGCTCGCAAAAACCGCATATCGATATCTTGTTCGTAACCTAAAATTTGGGCCAAAGAAGATTTTATACGGAAATCCATTAAATTTTTATTTTTTAAAACTAAAAAAGAAAGGTTTTTAATGCCCCCCTAAATGCTCGAACGGTTCTTTCTATAATTTATATGCAGTTCTTAGATATCAATTTTTCTGCAGAGTCTCTCCCATACGTTTCCTGGATACACGAGTGAACGAGGAATGTAAGTCAGCACTCATGCAAAAAACAGCGGTTATGGTTCGGCCTCTTTCTCCTGAAATGGCAGCTCCTACTTTTTTAGTTCCTTTGGCTCCATAAACCTTTGGGACATTTCTTCTGAACAGCTGTAATGTCTTGTCCGTGTTAAACATTCTATCTTGTTCAAATCTGATTTTTTCCATTAAGGTTTTGAGATTAGAAAAAAGATATTAACGGCATCTTTGTTAAATGAATTAAGCCTATTTACACTCGTTCCCTCAGGTTGCCGAAGTTCAATCTCGGAGACCCATTTTAGAGAACCATAAAGTCAGTCATTTACAGCTAGCCCCTTAGCCCGGTTAAAATTATGAGGGAAACTATTCTGTTCTGAATATCTAAATGCAATTCTTCTGAGTTATTTCGGGGTGAGACCAAAAAATAAGTTTGCAAGCAATAAGACATATTCTTTCAATTCAGACTCAATTTCTTTAGAAAATACCGCTAGACGACCTAGACGCGGTGATTTGCCTCTATTAACATATATTAATCTAACAAAAAAATACATTATCATCAAACTGGACCACAATCTGAACCTTTTTTGTTTGGAAATTTTTGCTGTATCTCTAAAAATAATGTCGTGGGGGGTATTAAAGGTTTCCGTAAAGAACACTCTGTATCTTCGAAACTACTATGCCAAACTTGGGTTAGTTAAAAAGATCTATTTTTGGGCTACAAATATTTGAAGTTTTGTAGTTGCACATGTAGCCGCTAGAGGGCTTTTATCGACATTCCGACAGAAATGGTTAATTTTCTCAAGAAAATTAAATGCATTGGTATGATTTTTTTATGATAAAGTAGCTAAATGATGTCTAAACAAGCTCGAAAAAGCGCATCTCGATATCTTGCTTTTAACCTAAAATTTGGACCAAAGAAGGTTTTATACTGAAATCCTTTTTATTTTTTTAAACTATTTCTTCTGGAATTTCTTTTTATTATGAAGTTGTGGCCCTGAAAATGCCCGATTAAAAAAAGAAAGGTTTTTAATGCCCCCCTAAATGCTCGAAATGCTGACCATCGCGCTCTATGCGTTACTGAAGCCTCTCATAGGTAAACAAAACTGCAGCTTCAATTTTGGCCCTCGGTACCTATGTTACGTATTGCATTACGAATCCGGTTTTTCATACTCGTATCTTCTCTGGTTATATAGGTTGAGTTCGAAGTCCTTTAACCGTCCCCATAAATAAAAATCAAGACAAGTCAAGTCTGGTGATCGCGAAGGCCATGGAAAAAGACTTTCTTTATCAATCCACGGCTGTTGAGATACAAAATGCTGGGCAACCATCCAACTGCAAAACAAGTTTTGCCGTGTATCCAGTGGCACATCTTCCAACATCAACGATAATTGATTGTCCAAAAAGTCAAGACGAAAGGCATTGCCGTTTAGGGATTGCTCGAAAAAATATGGCCCGATAATTCTGCATTCCAGTACGCCTCAACACACATTTAAACTCGAACGCCCTTGGTGCTGAATTTCACGCAACCAATGCGGATTTTCTGCAGACCAATAATGCATATTGTGCAGATTGACTCTCCCGTCACTCTGGCTACATCGATTCAAAGTTTCTGAAATGAAAATTCTCGTTTTTCGCGTATCGGGGAAGAATCTCTCACATCGCATAGACGCGGATTTGGATACCGGGTCACGTAAACTCTTTTTGCTATTGCGGCATTCTGGAGACATTAAAAATAAACTGCAAGCATACCAATAGCTTCGTCGTTCGTAAAACGTATTTGGTAAGTACAAAAATTGCTCAAAGTAACGCGAAACTATTGATAATTTGATTAGGTATAATTTTTGTTGTATTCCATTGCCTGCTTCTAATAATTCTCTTTTTTGTATGCCTATACCCAGAGTGAATAATATGCAACAAAAGTAGTGCCTTTTTAATCAGCATTACTTATTAAATTAATTATAAAAAATTAGTTTTAAAAATAAAAATTTAATGATTTTTCGTATAAAATCTTTAGCCTAAATTTTAGGAGAAGAATAAGATATCGAGATGCGGTTTTTGCGAGCTCGTTTAGACATCGTTTATCTAATTTTTCATAAAAAATCATACAAAAGCATTCAAATTTTTTGAGATAATTAACCATTTCTGACGAAATGTTGAAAAAATCCATCTAGCGGCCACATATGAAACTAACAAAACTTTTGATAATATTATAACATTAGCTCAATCACTTTTTTGAACTAGCCCAACTTCGTTGAAATCGGCTCAGCCGTTTTGAAGATGATTTTTACGGAAACATTTGAACACCCAGCACAACTTTATTTTAGAGATTCAGCAAAAATTGTCAATCAGAGTTCACATTATCCTCGACTTAAAGATGAGGTATTCTTTTGTTAGGTTAATATAGAAACACACACTTTCTTAGGTTCAAGATTGCAGTTACGCACCATAGCAGCCATTTCAGAAACTTGAAAAGATTTTCCAGGTTTTTTTCTTGGCCATTTTAGTAATCACTGTTTTTGCCGCAAGCCTCTACGATGGATATATAGGTTCGCAGATACAGCGCCTCACATTCTTAGTTGGCCACCTTGTACAGAAGCATTACGAACATTTATATATATTTCAGGTCTCAGACGATTACGTTGAAGCTTACTTATTTTTGACAATCCCGCCGCTATTAAATATGGCTTCATAGGTCCAAGGAATTTGAAATAAAAATTCTCTATTTTCGCGTATAATGCCTAACATCCAATGGCAATAGTCCAACCTCCGATCAAAGTCTTCCTCTTTCCAGGAATGACGTAAAACGACATGATATGGGTGCATTCTAAATGTAATTAAAAAAAAGTTAAATCAAAATAAATCCCTATATTTTGATTGCCATTAGAACCTTCCAATTATGGTACCTCAAAATATTTTTAACCGTTGTTCGTGATATACTCAACTCTAGGGATAATGCCCTTGTGCTAACATGAGGATTTCCTTCAATATATCCCAGAACGCGGTTACTATTTTCTTGTGTTCTTCCAATTCTTTGCCATTAAAACGCAGACATTAAAAATAAACTGCAAGCATACCAACAGCTTTGTAGTTAGTAAAACGCATTTGGTAGGCACAAAAATTGATCAAAGTAACGCCATCCTATTGACAACAATTGGTAATTTGAGGATTATCTATATTTTGTTTAGGTATTTGTTTTGTTGTATTCCATTCTATTAATTGTATCTTTCGTATATGCATTTAAACAAAAATATTCCTTTTGTTATTAGCATAACGTACCTTTTATTGGTATTTTCAAAAATTGTGATTTTAGTCTGATGAAAAAAAAAGAACTCCAGAAGAATTAGTTTAAAAAGACAATAATTTAAGGGACTTCCGTCTAAAATTTTCTTTGGACTAATTTTTGGGTTATAAACAAGATATCGAGATGCGGTTTTCACGAGTTTGTTGGGACATCATTTAGCTACTTTCTCATAAAAAAAATCATGTCAATGCATTTATTTATTTATTCATTTTGGCCGTTTTAGTAAGAGCTTTTTTGTTGCAAGCATCTACGATGGATAGGTTCCCAGATACAGTACCTGGCAATCTTAGTTGGCCACCCTGTGCAAAACTTCCCGTGAGTGCGAGAAATACAACCGGCTGCAGCCACTATGCTGCATCCCTCTCGCGGTCAGAGTACCTACAGTACAAAAATATTGCTCGATAAAATGCTCCCTAAATCTCGGCAAAATAATATGATAGTGATACTTATCTCGTGAAAGTGACTTTCATCACTGCGATTTTTATCAAATTTACCTGGAAAATTATCAAGAGTCAAGTTGTTGAAAATGTTCCTATTGTCAAGAGTTATCAATTTTCTTTTATCTGACTTTGAAGCAGTGTAATCAGCTGCCAATAATCTGATTATAACATCATTTTATACTTTATATCTGGTACTTTTTATGCTGGTAAAACTCCATGTTTTTCTGCCCATTAAATAAAACCACATATGCGAGAATAACTCTTCATAATGACGTTTCCGCCACCTCGGTAGCTTTTTTCAAAGTACAAATTAAAAATGATAATATTTTGTCAATGTCATTTTTAACTCGTATGTACTTTGAAAAAGGCCACGGAGGTGGCCAAAACGTCTGTAAGAAGTTATTCCTGTATATACGAGTATGTGGTTTCATTTCGCAATCAGAAAAACATGCGAGCTTTAAAACAATCACCAATTTTGGGCCTCAATGAAACATTACATCTTCATTTCAATACAGAAATAGTAAATGTAACATCTGAAACTTATCCTGTGATTTACAAGTCAATAATCCCCCATGTTTGTGTGGCCAATAAAACCACGTGTATTGATAGAATCGTCTTTACTGTAAACGTTTTAATCGCAAAGGTGATCTTCTATATTGCCATTGTACTGAAGAAGATCACCTTTATGATTGAAACGTTTCCAGTAAAGAAGATTCTGTCAATATATGTGGTTTTATTGGCTAGACAAGTATGGGAGATTATGTATTGACAGAATCTTCTCTACTGTAAACGTTTTAGTTACAAAGGTGAATCTTCTATATTGTCATTCCTCTCAAGAAGGTCACCTTTGTGATTGAAACGCTTACAGTAAAGAAGAATCTGTCAATACATGCGGTTTTATTGACCAGACAAACATTGGGTTTCCTATTTATAAAAAAAAATCCATCATGCGGTAATTTAAACTATTTCCAGCAAGCTCTAGTCATAGCCTAAACCATTCAAATTCAATTTAGATTGTATATCATCAACCACCCTTCCAGTCGAAGCATTAGACAAGTTTTTAAAAGACAATGAATATTTTGGTAAAACCACTTTACTAGCTTATTGCGTTATAATATACTTACATAATCCAGCACCTGCATCATCTATATTCATTGAAAAAACAAGATATAAGTAGGTAAGTACTGGTACTTGAAAACATCGCTGCATATGACAACGACACTGAAGATTGATATGGGACATACACGAAAGTATATAAAACGGAATGAGATGACATTTTGTCTAGTTTCTCTGAAACCACCATGGGTTTCAAGTCAGTTCTCCTTGTTACGCTGGGCTCTTTGCTCTCTTTCTGGTAAGAACCCGCAACTTTATTTCGCAACTCTTCACTCTTGTGGTAAAGCATATTAGTGCCGAATCTTTTATAAGAAATGTAATAAAGCTTCAAATATTATTTAATAAACTTATATTTCGAACGTTAATACTAAGACGGACCTTGAAGATCAAAAAACGGTCCAATAGGCTGATGCTTTTCACGAAGGTAACATATACTTTTTTTTTGTCAGTGATGTTCTGTATATGCAATGATTTTCATCATAAACAGTCAAAATAATAGCCTCCACTAGCTTTTCACGAAGGTATCATACACTTTTTTTTGTCAATGATGTTCTGTATAAGCAATGATTTTCATCATAAACAGTCAAAATAATAGCCTCCACTAGGTTGACTCTGCACTTTCTACATAACAATATCATCAGTTCATAAAAATGATTATATTTGGCACATCTGCAAACATGAATAACAAATATACTAAATAGATCGAGTCAGTCAAATAAGCCCATACAATTAGTCCTCAGTCCCTGGCAAGGGGCGTTACTATCAGGATTGCGACGAGTACACTGCCAGCTGCAGGTTTAAATTTATTTCCGTTGCGCTCAATACTTGTATCGAAACTATTTCTACCGTAAGTATTAATGGCCAATATATGATGAATATATGTGTGAAATATGTCTTGTAGGTGCATATAATTATAGATGTTAGAAGAGTATAAATACATTAATGCCAAAAATTTGAGACATACCTCCAACCCACTGCAACATTCCACTCCCCAATTTTTGACCACAACAATAAATTTCTGAAAATGGGCAGGAGTCTCTCAAACGTCAAAAAAAACTAGATATTTTTAATATTTTCGTTTTTTGTCCGTTGCTGAGCCAACTCTGCATCTTTCTTCAAAAATTATACAGATTTCATCAAAGTTCGATCGGTACTTTCCCAGTTAGAAAGGGGCCAAGGAACTAGTGGAGAGACACACATTCAAAATAAGTTAAATAGATGGAATACTTAAACCCAGCCGGACAAGCAATATTGAGTCAGCGATGATTCACAGTCTCTACATTGCTTGAATACTATATTTATAGTAACACGTTGTATATGTAATTTTTAGCTCAACAGCAGATGTAAACAAGCACTTCTTTCCACCAAATTTCAAGATTGGAGTGGCTAATGCTGCAGCCCAGATTGAAGGAGCGTGGAATGAAGATGGTAAAGGCGAGACCATCTGGGACAGGTTCGCCATGAGTCGCCCAGAAAGGATCTTCGATCATTCATCTCCGCAAGTGGCTGCTGATTCTTACCATAAGTGGAGAGAAGATGTCGAAATGGTTAAAGAGATGGGCGTGGACCATTACAGGCTCTCAATAGGTATGTATTTTATACTAGCTTTAACCCGCGGTTCCGCCCGCATGGAAGTGGTAAGATGTATAGGTCGTTTGTTTTTATTCAACGTTTTAATGCAACAATAAATTGATATCAAATGTGCAATCATAATCACAATAAATAATACGTGAAGTACCTCACAGCCAATTACAATTTATCGTAGTATTATATTTGAAATAAAACAAAACACCAAACAAGACTAAATCAAGACAATCATGCTAAGAAAACGATTTTTTTCGAAATGCAGTAAACACAATGAAAATTCTATATTTGTATACGATTAGTTTTAGGCTCGGACCAACGACTGACCGCTTTCGCAGACCTAATTCCATTAGGCCGTTTGATCTGTGGTCCGCTACTCCAGACTATGATATCTGTACTAAGTTCATCCAGATCCGTTCAGCCATTTTGGCGTGATTATATATTATTATAACATACAAATTTTCAAATTTATAATATTAAGTAGGGATTTATTAAACTTTAGCGGCCTGTTGGTCCTTTCGGATGACTACCAATAGTTTATACTCAATTTAGTTGGTTTGTGATGTTACTAAGGCAATAACTGGTTCCCTATGGTTTAGGCTTTTTATAATTAATGAAAGTTGCAGTTAGTAAAGTTAAGCGCTGAATCTCTTCATTAGATAGGTAGCGTCAAGCCAGTATTTCATTTTATCATGATCAGCTGTGTAATACTGGTGGTAAAATATTTTGTACGGTATTTGGTGGGTCATTTTAAATTTACTAGTATGAATTCAATATTAGAGAGTTAATATAAGATAATAAATATTATACAATTATCTATTTAAAGTTACAAAAGTAATTATATTTACTTTAACTGCTTGATCCTGAGCATAAGCACCTTGAACTGCGAAGTATTTGTATTGGAAATAGTACTACAAATAAAAACTGCCTTTTTACGTTAGCGGAAAAATATGACAACATTGCCACATACTCCTAATACTTCAGGGGTGTCTCAGGGATTAAATCTAGGGCTCCTATTATTCATAATGTGCATTCATGACCTGACACTGCAGCTATCTAAATTGAAGCTATTATTAGCAGATAATTTAAAGATATTCAATGAAATTGAAAATTACAGTGACTGTATGGAATTGCCCTGAATTGGTTGAGTAAATGGTGCGTTCGCAACAAACTTAATATAAACATAGCAAAATGTAAAATTTTCAGTTTTACTTGCATGCTTAATCCCATCATGTCTATTTACTACATTGATATCACCAATATAGAGAGATGCCAGACAATCAAAGAGCTAGAGGTACTGTTTGACGGTAAATTTACGTTATTTGATGGAGTGATGGTCTCTTCAACAAATAAAATATTAGGATACTACGCTAAAAACTGCTCGGGTTTCGCCGATGTGAACAGCCTTAAAACAATATACTATATACATAATTAGGAGTAAACAGGAATATGCTGCACTGATTTGGTCGCCAATTTATCAAAATGCAATTTCACCTATTGAATCTGTCCAGCGTAAGAGCCTGAAATAAATCTATTTAAAAATCGATATCATATATCCTGGAAGAGGCTTCTCACACAATGTGCTATTTCAAGGCATGACTTTTGAGATATTTTTACCGCCGTCAATTTAATGACATTACAGTGCTTCATAGTCTGGTTAATAATAAACTTGGTTGTCCGGAATTATCATCTAAAATCAATTTTGTGGTGCCAAAGAGATCAACTCGGTCTAATGCAACTTTTTACAGCGCTAGGGGTAGACCCACCATATCGGACATGTCTCCTGTTAAAAGGATGTGTGACTTGTTCCACACTTATTGTCAAGGATGCGATATCAGTAATGATACCATTCAGGTGATTTTAAGCAGTTTTAAGCAAAAATATGCGGTGCTAACCAGTAGATACTGTTTATTTTTGCAAATGGAGCCGTAATTTTTAGATATAATATTTTTTGTGTCAATTTTACTGTCATTCATGTTTATGTTTTTCATTTACCTGTGATAATGTTTCATGTTTTAAATGCATTTTGTAAAAAGAACTTTTATACAGGAGCATAGAACTTGATGTTTATTATTGGATGTTCCTGTGATTGGGTGCAAATGTGTGTGAATAAAGATTATTATTATTATTATGCAAAGATCTACGCTAGATGCATTTTGTGAAATGAATTTCATTATTCCAATTTCCTTTTCCTACACCAGCTTGGGCAAGAATCTACCCAGATGGTTACAAGACAGAAGAACCTAACGCCAGGGGTGTAGCATACTACAAAAACCTACTTAGGTCATTGAGAGCATTGGGCATTGAACCAATGGTCACCCTCTACCACTGGGACTTACCACAGAAGTTGCAGGATGATTTTGGAGGATGGCTGAGCCCTAAAATTGTCGATATATTTGCAGACTATGCCAGGTAATCAGAATTGAAATATATTTCAGAATCGCATAAGGTTTCCTTAAATCTTCAATACTGCGATTTACAAGAGTGTTATGAGTCATCAGAATTGTATCGCCGGAATCTCATGAAGAACCAGAAGCACAGTTGTTAGTGGCGTATAGTACTTTATTTTGAGCATTTACTAACGCATTCCACCTGAAGACATTCAACCATAACACAAAAATGAATTTAGAAATCTACTTTAAAAATATTTAGAGTGTTTGAGCGCTAGAATACCCTGTACTGACGCCTTTATATTGCTTGTTAGCGATAGCTAAGGGCCAATGGCAAAACCAAACACTAACTCTTTAGTAGATTTATAAAGTTATGTTTCTGTTCTGCTACGTCTCATAGATGACACCACTATCTTCCAGATCTCTTTTGGGAAGCTGGGACACAGTATATGGTCGACTATCTTCAATTGGCATGCGCTAACCAATAAACTAGTAATAAAGCATTCGTTCGTCCGACCACAGAACGGCTAACCATGAACCGCTGTTTCTTGCTATTTGGTAACTCCTCAGCGTGGTCTAGGCTTGGTCTCAGGTAGAACAACGAACAAAAGCTGGGCAACTATCCTCAACCAGAATATAAGGTCTATCGGAATAAGTCTGTACAAAGTGATATCTATTACCAGAATCGATCACTGCGAGAGTGAAAACAGCAAGAACTTGGAACTATATCCCAGCTCACATTATCAACCGGGTGACCTCTGTGGAACGTAGATGTAGCGGATTTTGGTACTATAGTAGATACGGTCTACTCGCGATTAGTAATATATATTTCGTCCGCCGGACCACATGGAGCTATAAAATTTGGAGGTCGAGCAAATCATAGCTCCTTCTACATAGTCTGAATTTGTTGGTTCCAGCAGTCAGCTTGCTTCCTCGCAGTGGTCAATTTTGGTAATATGTAGATGGTACTTTGTGCAGTTTTATTATGTCAATCAGTGTTATGAATAATTTTGATTTCCTCAATATATTTGAAGCCAAAAAATGGTTCAGTGATTTTTCTCTGTGAAGGAAAGTAATCTAGAAATGTTATTTTCAAATTCACAGGATATTTGACAGTAGCTGTCATCCTAGTGCATTTAGAAGTGACATAATTTGCTAAAAATGCACAGTTTAAAATACTGTATACCTAGTTTTGGTAACAATAGCAACCACTATTCTTTTATTCGTGAGAACTAATATATATATATATATATATATACACAATTAATTGTTAATTGGGAAATTGACAAATTTTTAGGTTTAAGTTGACTCTTTTGACGATAAAGTCAAGCTTTCGGCATTCTCTATGGAGCCTTCATCAGGATTCTGAAAACACAATTGTGATGCTAGCAAAGAAAACAGGACAGATGTAAATTGTCAAACAACTTACTCGTCGTTGAGGTTGCAGCCTCAAGCTGTTTCAAAACGAACGTAGAGAAGATAGAACTTCTAATCAGTATAAAAACAAAAGGACGTGGACATTGGGCTTGTTGAAAACGACAGATACCTTCGTTACATGTTAAAAATATCAATCCACCCGAACTAATTAAAAGTTATTACACGTGAGAAGACATTTTAGTGAAAAAATCGGAATGCAGTCTCTAACCTCCTACTTTCGCTACACGTGGAGAGGGGAACGGCACGAAAAGATAAAGCGTCGACAGATGACAAGTGATTGACGCGACGGACCGTGGAACTGTAAACCTCATTGTCCAAATTTGGGTATGAAGTATACGAGTGACGCTAGGTAAACCTCCACCCAAAATTACTAAAATGCTGAATTAATTTGTTTTGGAAAAATGTGTGATATTGATACAACCGTAAAAAGATGGCTTATGTGAGTTTATATTAAAAATTGTGAGTGAGAAGATGTATTAAAATTTTGTGAAGATGTTGGTTCAATTTGGATATGTAGCCGTTCTAGCTTTTCGCAATTCAACAGGTAGGAATAAATGACACTGAGCTGCTTGATATCAGCCATTTTATTCATGCAATGATCTGTCATGAAAATGTGGGTCATTTCTAAAAATAAACGTTTTGAGAGTCTTTTTTCTTTATCAAGAACCTCAACACTGCCATAATTCATGGAGTGACCTGTGTTGTTAGTATGCGATGCCAAAGCATATCTATCTGGGTGTAATCTGGCGTCACTTTTGTGTGAAGTTATCCTGCCTTTCAGCGACCTAGAAGTTTGGCCTATATAAACTAAATTACAGTTGTTGCAATTAATGCGATAGACAGTGTTGGTTGAATCAAGCAACTGAAGCTTATCCTTCATTTTGGACAACAAACTGTTGACTGTGAGCACTGACTTACAAGCAAAACAATTAAAGGAATTATACAGCCTGATCAATTTTTGTGTTAGTTCTTTGATGTATGGTAAGACAACATAATTAACTCTGGAAATAGAAGCAACCACTGTAGTGCTGTTACTCTCATTGGTTGAAGAACTCAAGAGTCAACTGAAGCCTAAACATTTGCCAATTTCCCAATTAACAGTTAATTGCATTTGTGCCCAACTGGTCGTTGGCTTTGACAATGACTACTGCTCACATATATATATATATATATATATATATATATATTATGTATTTTTTTTTTAGAACTTGCTTTGAGCTGTTTGGCAATGAAGTAAAATGGTGGATTACAATCAATGAGCCCAAACAGGTAAATTTACTTAAATCTACGAATCCTTCGACAGATTAGTATGTCTTTCATTTTTTAGATCTGCGAAGCTGGATATGGAACAGGAGGCTTTGCACCAGGCATCTATAGTCCAGGAGTAGGAAGCTATAAATGTGCCAAAAACGTACTTTTAGCCCATGCTAAAGCATACCACATTTATGACAAAGAATTCAGACAAAAGAACCAAGGTACGTCACATTAATAACATAACACATTAGCACAAACTAAAATAGTTCTGTGGTTCGGATCTTATAGAATATCTTCCTCAAGAAAATAAAACAGTAACTATTTTTTAGGAAAAGTCGCAATTGTGATTGACAGTAACTGGTTCGAACCTGCTTCTGCTAAACCCGAAGACAAAGAAGCATCTGAAAGGGCACTACAATTCTCAGTGAGTATAACACGGTATAATATACAGGAAAAACTGAATAAAATCATTGATTAACTTATTCAACCTGATGGAATACGTGCCACTTTAGGTCTATTTAACATCATTAACAAGCAAAAAGAAGGTGGTAGACAAGGACCAGCAGACCGATGCGGAATCACCCGCTCGCTTTTTCCTGGGTGTCTTGAGAATGACCGCATGCCTCCACATCTAAGCTACGCAGTCGGTTTTCTTAACTTTCCCTACATAACAAAGAAATTAATGATTATGGATCCCTCGAACACTAACAATTCCGGACGTAAGCTCACCTCATTTTCCGAATGTACGGGTTGAGGGTGGACTCGGAGGAATAACGTCAATTATAAAATCTCAACGAATATTTGTGGGATCAACAGCAATATTGATGCTGTTAACCACTATCTGCATTCTAATCGTCCCGCCATGCTTTTCTTTACGGTGACCAAAATCTCGGATTCTGCCCCGACTAATCATCTTCGCTTTACAAATTATGATGTGCACTCCCATCTGGGGAAGAACGGGCGAGTTGTGGTTTCCGCAGCAGTTTTTCCTGCCCCAGACACGTTTCTTTGGAATCAGACCGGAATAACGTTCTGTGGCTTTGTCTCAACTCCAAAACATCCTCCAAATTAATTTGCTGCTTTTATCGCTCTCCCTCAGACCATAACTGTTCTAACCTGCTTGAACAGCTTGCTGTCAAGATCGATCATCAATTACCCTGCCTCAGAGATAATTCTCCTCGGTGATTTCAAAGGAGAAAGCGGTGATCCATTGGCAGACAATCCTCCCTATACGTAGGAGAAACAAAAAGATCATTCTCAGTAAGAACAAATGAGTATACCTACTCGTAAATCCAATACGGAACGAGGAGAAATGAACAAATCTGTGGTAGCAGATCACGCTTGGACATACCACGCAAAATACTTTGGGATCATGCTAAGATCTTTCACAAAGAACACACTGGCTTTGGAGAAAATGCAAGGAAATGGCCTTCCACTGTCAGCGTGAAGCCGGCAACAGCGTGGCCAGTCATCGCTCCATTCAATACAGACGTTTTATTTTTCACTAGCTGTTATCCGCAACTTCGTACGCTTGAAACTGTTAGTAACATATAGTCGAAATCACGAAAGATGACGATTCCGTCATCATTTTAGTCTGTAGCAAAGACTAACGACAGCGATTTGTAGGAATATTTTTAATGAAGTTTCAGATATGTTAGACAGAGAGAAACAGAATTTTATTGTCTAAACAAATTGCCAATTTGCATGTATCCGACAAAGATAGGCGATGTTTTCATGTTGCATGATCGATCATATTTGAAAGATGAATAGTTAGGTTATGTTAAAGCAGGTTAGGTTGTTTTCGAATAATAGTTTGGTCTTTGGCGTTGCTGTCTTAAGGTTATTCTACTAATAACTGTTTTTTTCGAAAACTCCCCATTTTTAAGTAATGCTAATAGACTTCCGATATCGTTTTGTGTTTTTGATGGCATGTATAGATGTATTTGGTTGCTTTAATAGTAGCGCCACGTTCCTCGGGTGAAACCACGGGATAGAAAGCTGGTCAATGATAAAATATAAAAATGCATAGATTCTCAGTATGATACAAACTGTTAACTAACCGTCGGCTTAGCATGGCTGCCTTTTTGGTAATTCAACGCATATGTTCACCATTTTCACAAAATTTGTAGAAGCAACACAGCAAATACAGGATATCCTAAATGTTGATATTTTAATCTTTGGCTTTGAAGTGACGAAACTAACATGCGGTAAAATATCAGCGAAAATGTAAGGAAGAAATTGAAATGTACTCATTATTCAATTAGTCAGAAAATTCAGGTACTGCCCTCTCACATATATTGTTCCTGAAATACTTTTTAGTGAATTTGCAACATTTTGGGTTGTTGTGATCTGGCACTGTGTTCGTGGTCGTGAATCGCGGCAGTTACTGGAAAAAAGCTAAGCCGCAATCCCCTGAGAGCCTTACGTATTAAAATACTTTTCTCCACGTAAACTTGATCACTCTGTAAAGTGCCTAGCCTCGAATATTGCTCACATGTTTGGAGTTCTGCCGCTCCGACTACATTATTCATGCTCGATGCTGTTAAGGGGCGGGCTGTCCGACTGATCGATGACTCTTCTCTAACGGATAGACTCGGGACCTTTTGCACCTAAACGGTCGGCGATCTGGCTCCCTTCTTTCGCTATGTCAGCGGGCCTTACTCCCCAGAGCTCTCCTCCATGTTACTGCGCGATGAGCCTGCCAGATAGACTCGCCTGACCCGGCGTCCCATTCTAACCATGTCGAACTTCGTACATCCAGAACTGGACTGTACGGCTGCTCCTTTTTCCCTAGGGTTTCAAGATTGTGGAATAATCTTCCTGAGTAGGATTTTCCCAGATCTATTAACCTTAGGCAGTACAAAAATTGGATTAACAAAGTGCCTTATAGCAGCCGCGCTACTCTGCTTTTAGGCTTCTTCTACGCGACTGCTGTGGTATAAAGAAACACTCACCCTGAACTAACATCAAATCGATAACTTCGTTAGCGCTATGGAAATGTGCCAATTTCGGTTATTTCAAGTCCGACTTGTAAGTGGTTAACAAGCCTTCACACCGCACGGCGCATGATTTGACCACTTAAGTGTCGTATGGTGAGTCATTCCTACAATAATTGTAGGACGCCTTTATGGCCTCTTTAATTTCCATAGTTTTTTACTATTTCATGTCACGCTCTATTTTGAGGTTATGTTACAAATATTTGCATTAAATTGTTCGTGCTTTTGATTTGTATCATCTCTTATATTAGTCTGAAATTTCCTGCAATCTAAAAAGAAAACATAGTCTTACAATAGGAGAGCGCTGACGCTGACACGGGATAGTAGAAATCTAGAAATACCCCAGCCTTTCTGAAGCAAACAAAATACTATCAAAATCGAGGAGGCCATAAAGGCGTAATACAATTGTAATGCACGTGGTATCTTTCTACCTTTTCAGTATGGTTGTAGGGCTATAGTTTAATAGATTAGTTATAATCCCCCATGTTTGTCTGACCAATTAAACCATATGAGTTTAAAATTCTGCACTGCGTTTGTTTTTTCGCTCACATGTCATTTTGGGTGGCTAGACGACCTTTTGGGAGCGGGAATGCCTACCCAGCCGGTCTTGGGCTATGCTGGCTTTGCATGGTGCCTTATTTAAATTTGGAATGATGGCTTCGCGCAATCTAAGCATGTGACGAACCTTTCATACTATTTTTGCAACACCCTGTTTAGTAATGTGAAAACGGAAAGAAAAAAATAAACGAAGTGTCACCTGGAAGACAGATACATAAAATATTGTCAAGAAGGTCACCGTGGAGACCGATACGTATATAATACAGAAGAATTTTAAACACGTGGTTTGATTGACCAGGCAAACATTATTGACATTAAAACCACGAGATAAGTTTCAAATGTTATATTGGTAATCTTAAGGTAGCTATAAGGATTCCTTGTGTTGTGATCAAAGGACTTTACCTTTATCTGGATTTATCTTCCAGTATGGCCTGTACGGCAACCCAGTATTCAACGGCGACTGGCCCGCAGTAGTCAAAGAAAGGGTTGCTCAACGTAGCAAGCAAGCAGGTCTGAAGAAATCTCGTCTACCAGCCCTTACCAAGGAAGAAATCAAACTAATCAAAGGCACCCATGATTTCCTGTGCATCAACCACTACACCTCGCACATGGTCAGTGCTTGGAATGAACGGCCTTTTAGCGACACTAGCTTTGCAGCTGATATTGGGGTCAATGATTGGATGCCCAAGGAGTGGCCCAGGGGAGGAGAAGGTTGGTTCTCGGTATGTATAATTGACCTCCTGAAATATGTTTATAAAAACAACAGGTGGTGTCAAGTAGATTCACTCTGTACTTCCTAGGCAATTATGTCATTTTTAGATTGTTAATTTCCAGGCTTAACGCCATGTAAACCACGATTCAAAAGAATTCGTTCGAAGCAATTGATTGTATGCGAGATATAAAAGTCAATCTACTTGACACAAGGTTTATTCGGAAGCCTGCTTCGTTAAATTTACTGAAGATACATAAAAGTGAAAGCAATGTATAAAATATTTCTATCGTCGCTGCTGAAATGTCCACCAACCCGTCGTAGGATATACGCCATACACCGGCCTGTACATGTGCTGCTAAGACTGCTAAGATCAGACAATTTACTGATGTCTTTGGGTGATGGGGCGGTTGCAGCATCGAGAGCGGAGAGCGAAACTCGAGACGTCTGGCCGTGAATATTCAATTGGCGTGATTGGAATTTTTAAATTTGACTGTCAATCAGAAACGTCTTTCGCTGATACCACAAATGCAATATTTACAAGCCCCTACCCCCTGCCAACCCCCAGTTTTCAATAACTTCGAAAATTCTTCTCAAAATGATCAGCAGTCCCTGACACGTCAAAAAACGAACGTTCCACATTTTAATTTTTTTGTATCTTGCCGGCAGCTCTTCCGCCACTGGATCGATTTTCAAAAGCTACAAAGCCAATAGACTAATCCAATTACAGGGCAATATAATGGTAACTAATTGTGTGCATATAAGAACATAAAACGAACAAAACAAGTAGTGAGAGTAGTATAGTCACTAAAATTTGACAAAATCTCATTGATACAACCGAAACTAATATCAGAACGGTCTGCTAAGAAATTATAATTATTGCATATAGAATACAGGACTAAATAAAATAATACTCTAGTACTTTTGAATTTTTCAAAAGCGTTTGACACCATCAACCACCAACTTTTATTGGCAAAATTGCGATATTCAGGGTTGTCTCAAAAAACATTAAATTTATTTCTACTTAAACCAATTTAAAGACGTCGCTAATTAAATTTAAATGTAATTAGAAGTATCACTTTCTGAACATATAGTAGTATAATTATTTCTGTTTTCTCAATGCTTTTGTTGTTATTGTATCAACTTTTTACTTACCTAAATTTGTAGTATCACTATTTGAAGGTTAAGTGGAAGAATAGCCGTTTCTAAGCTTCGCCCATAACTTATTGTTATTTATAAATAAAGACGTTTATTATTGTATCTTTAATTTCTGCTGATAATCCAAAACAACATTATTTCTGATATATTCTAAGATGATCGGGTTGATTTTCATTTAATGTATATAAAAAAAACTTTACCCTTGGAAATGTTTATGCAAAGAAAGTTATTGTTACATCATTGTGTCATAGTATCTAGATCCCCCTGAAGGGGAAATACCGTTCTCGAAATTTTAAATTGTGGTGATTTGCAGATCGGCAAATGGTATACTGTGGCACTTTTGTGAAGCGGTTAGGCTTTTGATGAAGAATAAAAGGGTCAAGGTTTGAGCCACGCGGTACCCTATAGGAAACAGTATATAATTTGCTCGACAATAACCATTATATAGGGAAATAATATATGTAACTTTAAGAGGTGATTCCTGCATTATTCTAAGCAAAAAACTTCATTATAACTTATGTCCGAAAATCAATCGTTTTCAAGGAAAGTGAGTCGTAAATAAGTAAATTTTCTCAAACATTTGGCAACGCAACCGCGATACGAGCGCACGATGGCCGCAATTGTTTACGTTTGTATGATATTTTTGTTGAAAATATGCCTTGAATTATTGAATACTTTCACGCAATTTTTTGTGAGCAATATATTTTATTTAATAACGCTTTCAGTACAGTACATTTACTTAAAAAAATGATAGAACTTTCCGGTACGTGGCGATACACACCACCAATTCCCACAATTATCAGTCTCTTATTTGAAACGATGGGATGCACGAAAAAAGGAAAAACCAACATCCGGAAATCACATAAAGTTACAGTTAAATGTACCAGTAATCACAACAACACGCGACGATACATGCAGTGCAGAGTACGACGTTGCCAGTTGTGTGAGGGATTTTGTTTGTTTTTTCTTCGGAGAATTGTATTTAATAAGCAAGAAAATTGTTTGTTAGAGACAGTTAATTAATAAATAGATGTATTGATACATTGCACGCTATTAGGGATATGAATTTAAATTGTTAAGGTGCAAAATCAATTTATTTTATGACTAAAAAGAAATAAGTTCAGCATTTTATGCTCTGAAACGGTTTTTTTTTCGGACATAGGTTATAATGAACTTTTTTGCTTAGAATAACGCAAGGAATCACCTCTTAAAGTTACGAATATTATTTCCCCAATACCCTGTATAAGAAACGTTGTGTAAAAATTTCATTAAAATCCGCGACCGGTGGGTTTACAGACCTAAGAAATGAGTGACATGGTTTTCGTGATCTATACGTGACGTAACATAAAAAAAAATATATCTCATTTCCGGAACTTTTCACGATTGCAATACATTAACGCACATGTTACTTATGTTTATATTGAACCTTTTTCAAGGTTTGGGCTCCCGGAATGAGAAAACTGTTGAACTGGTTGAAGAACACCTACTATACAACAATCCAGAGATCGTGATAACGGAGAACGGTTTATCTGATAATACAGGGACTCTGGAGGATGACCACAGAATTAACTACTACAGGGTATGTATTCACTGAACATTCGAAAGTCGAAAAAACTGTTTATGATTCATTCATATCTGTATTTTTTTTTTTTTTAGGACTATCTAAGTAACTGTTTGGATGCGATCTATATTGACAACGTGAACCTGACAGCATATACTGCTTGGAGTATCTTAGATGACTGGGAATGGAGAACTGGATACCAGTAAGTTAATTTTCTATATCTTCAGGCCAATTTTTCATGCAAGACATGTTCCAGAAAGATTTCCATTTTGCCATGTTTCTTGCTTTTGGAAGAAATAGAGTCCTTTAGGGCGAGTTTGTTCATCACGTTTCAGATGATGCAAACAAATATGTTAATCATACAAACCTCTATCCCAAAATTTCTAAGTTTCTTAAAAGCATTATACTATACCATTGATTAACCTAATCTATCTCAACATAGCCAACTTAATTCAATATTTCCGTGTCCAAAAAATTCTCCGAGATAAAATGAGATACGGTGGCGTCATCTATGAGAATTTGTCATAGCTATGTTTCTCAACTCCACACTAATAAGAAATCTCTTTGAATAGTTTAGTGTCTTATAGATGGCGCTGTAGCAGTATATTAGCATATACATATTTGCTTACGGCGCCATCTATGAAGATTAGTGTGGAGAGGAGAAACAAAGCTGGGACAAGTTCTCATAGATGACGCTTCGGTATCTCCTTTTATCCCGGATAATTTTTTGAGTGCGCGAATATAGCATTAGGTTGGTTATGTTTACGTAGAATACGTTAATCAATGGCATTATTCAAAATAGCAAGAAAAAACATGTGACACTTCAGGAAACCTGAAAAATAATGCCTTCAAGTGATACTGTTCTGTTACAGCTCCTTAATTGGAATGTACAAAGTAGACTTCAACGACCCCAACAGGGCTAGGATTCCTAAGAAGTCTGCTGCATACTTCACCCAAATCGCCAAGAACCGCTGCCTGGCAGAAAATCCTGCAGAATGTATACATTAAGCAAAAAATAAATATAAACTGTAATCACATAACTTTTTGAGTATTATTTACTTATCTATCAGCGACCCATCAACATTTTTGGAATACTGGCATCAATTTTGTCTTATTCTTACGCTTTGAAAAAATCCCAAAACACTAGGAATGTCAATATATCATATAGATCGCAGTAGTTGTTTACGTATATCCCAAAGGGACATACTAAATAGAACAAGATAATGGTATACAAAAGGAGAAATAAAACATGTAATGCTAAAACAAAAAAAGTCAATCACAATAAGTTATGGAATATGGCGATACAACTTACATCAATGTCCGAAAATAAATAAATCAAAATTAATAAGCTTTATATACTTGTATTCGAAAGTAGTAGGAATAAAAAAAACATAAAGTAAAAAGTGAAAAAAATCTCATTTTCAAAAAAGATCTAGCTTAGAATTTGTATTTGAAATTCAACTTCACCAAATACCTGACGTTCACTTGAGCCACATCGTAGACGATGAATCTAACCTTTTTTAAAATGTACGCAGCTGTAATTAAACGTTGTCTTTCTCCTTTGAAGATGATCCATGTGAAGATCGATAAAAACTAAAGGTCCGCAACATCGTGTTGGACGATAGGCATATGCAGGTGAGTAAGATAGCTAAAGCCGTTGAGATTTCACAAATGGGAAACATCTTGCATGAAAAACTGGGGATGGTGGGTGCCGAATTTGCTGAATGCCAATTAAAACGACTTTCGCTTAATATGGGAATTTCACAGAGATCCGTTTTAGGGCCTTTACTACAGAATGCCTTTTCCTAAGGCTTCCAACGTTGTAACGTCCTCTGTAGCGTGCCATGTGGCGTGGCGAACGTTGGACACATGTAATCCGTCAGCGCTCTCCCACACGATGTGGCGAATGGCCATGTGTCCAACGTTGTAAGGCATTCGCCATATCGTGTGGGAGCGGTTTAATTAGAAGTACCACATTATTATGAACAAAAAAGGTGCTTTAGAACTTTTCTCTAAAGTTGATTATTTTCGAGATGCATGGGACTTGGTATTTCAAAATGTGCAAAAATATGTCATTTTCAAGCCCGAACAAAACAAACGTTTCAATGTTGCCAGTATTCCTAAATATTCTTCAAATATGCATTAACAAGATCTAAAAGTATTAGTGGACATAAAAAATAACAGAACATGATGTTTCTGAGCTTTCAAATAAAGCTTCCATGAAAGAGGCAACAATGGAAAAAGCGGTACCTATCGGGATTCTGAACAGCAGGAGTATATCCCGTTCAGCCAGACAAATTTGACGAAAATGACTTTGCACCTCCCATATAAATGGAAAAAGATTCAGTCGGATTGGAAATTATTACTGTATCAGCAGAGACCTCAACTTCTGAATCCAACGTTGATAATTTTCGACCGAGGTAATTCCTTTCTATTAATGTCGCCGAATCCAAAAGCGAAAATCACTAAAGATGTTAGAAAGACTCGAAAGAAGCAATGCTCCAAAAATCTCAAAAGCACGCCATTAAAGCGAAAAAAATCTTGAGAAACGAGAATTTGAGAGAACAAGAAAAAAAAGACATTAAAAAAACAAACTGTTCATCGACGCCTGGATACAGGCGAATCATCTGAAGATGACAGATGTGATATCTGTGACGATGATGAGTTGAATGATATCCAATTGAGTTTTTTGCTACCCTCTTTGATTAAACCTGGAACACCGACGGAAATATGTTGTATTTGTGGAGGACATGGAAAGAACAGGGAGTTATGGTACAGATGTGTTATTTGCTCTTCATGGAACCACGCTGAATGCACTGGTGTCGATACGCCAAAAAAACTATAAATGTGATTTCTGTGTCCATTCTAAAAAAGCACTGCTTATGATTTGGTGAAGAATATACCTTAATTTTCTCAAATTTGTATATTTTCTAATCCTCTTTCAAATGCGCATGGGTACACATTTCTTGCGCATCATTACCCAAAGCGGCGGGAAATCGTGCGCAAATGCACTTCTCTACTTCTTACAATATTTCTTTTATAGGAAATAATAATATGAAGTCTCACTTTTCACAAACAAATTACAATAATTGTAGAATGCTATAAAACCTTTTACTTTATTCTAGCTCCTATAGTTTCAGCACATACGCCGCTTTCGCATAACTGCGCACCATTTCCCCACTCTCCCTTAATGATGTTTTGGTTGGGTATTTATTGTCCTTCTATTAGTTGTCTTTTTCATATATACCCATAGTGAATAATGCCTTTAAACAAAAAACATGACTTTTAAGCGGTATTTTGTAATATTTCCAAAAAGAGTGATTATATTCTGATGAATAAAAAAAACTCCAGAAAAATTATTTAAAAAAAAAAATTAAAATTTAAGGGATTTCCGTATAAAATTTGTTTAGCCTAAAGTTTAAGTTAGGATCAAGATATCGAGATGCGGCTTTCGCTGGCTTATTTAGACAACATTTAGCTACTTTTTCGATAAAAAAATCATACCAATGCATTTAGTTTCTTTGAGAAAATTAACCATCTCTGTCGGATTGTCGAAAAAAGCCCTCTAGCGTCACAAACAGATACTATAAAAGTTGTATCCCAAAAGTGGCTTATTACAACTAGCCCAAGTTTGTTACAATCGGCTTAGCCGTTTAGAAGATACAGGGTGTTTTTTACGAATACCACTTTATTTTTAGAACAAAAATTGTCAAACAAAAAAGTTCACATTATCCTCGACTGTAAAGATCAGGTATTTTTTTGTTAGGTTCATATACCGGAATTCACAGAAACATCACTTTTTTATATTCAAGATTGTAGCTACACCCTCTAGCGACCATTTCAGGAACTTGAAAATATTTTCCAGGTTTTTCTCTTGGCGGTTTAAAATACACCAATTGACAATTGAGTAGATTTGTTAATGCAATAATAATAAGGTTTTGAATAGTTGTAGTTGTAAAAATGTCAAAACTATTGGATTTTTCAATTTATTTATCTTTAAAAACAAAACCGTAAGAGTTACCTCAGGCAAATAGCTCGTATGCGTTGAAGCTGGAGGTGGAATTTTGCAATTTCGATAAAATAAAGATTAAAGTCAGATGCGCTAAGCGTCGTGCTTGGGTGCTGGATTTTCATTGGTTCTTCCTTTTTAATAACGTTCCATACTGCTTGTAGTAAATTTTTATCATTTCAAGTATAACGATCATTCGGTTGCTTTTTGGCTTGACTTATTGTAGGTACGTCTTTATTCATACTTGTATGAGTCGAGATACTCTTTATTAACAATTTGAAGATAGCATTTGTGTAGTTCTGTACTTCAGAAGATTTAACTTGAACCAAGATGAATGAAAAGATTGTTTTTGAGAATATTTGATTTGAGTGGAATATTTCTTTCTGTCAATTCCATCAACCAGGGTTGTGACGATTTTTTTGATTATACATTTCAATAGACATATTAAGATTCTCGACAAAGTCCCAATTCATGTGCTTATCATCTATTTTCAATCCATATCTATTATATGGATTGAAAAGACCAACGTCGGTAATTGGACTATAATTAAAACTTTTAGATGTTGATGGATACTGCTTATATTATATGGAGAAGTCAATTGCTAAATGATCTGAAAAATAGGTGCCAAAAACGGTTAAAGATTATTTCATTTTTGGGCAATTCGTAATTACAGTGCATCCCCGATAATCCGGCCCCTGTCTAATCCGTCGCCCCCTGTAATCCGACATGTCTTTGACTATGTATTACATACATGCGTATTTGACAATCTTCGCTAATGTAGATCACGCAGGTTTGAACAGGTTACCACTTGTATGCGCCACCGCTATCGTGCTCGACGGGTAAGCATTGTTTTACTTAGTTTGAATTTGACTACTGGTGATGCCGGTACGGCCTAGCGTGCGTTCATTGTTTACTATTTATTCATTGTGTCTTAAGTATAGTTCCTAGTAATCTCATCACAAACTCAGAAGCTAAAGCACAAAACATTGACAATTAAAGAAAAATGTGATATTTTAGACCGCTTAAATCGCAATGAAGCTTTCAGTAGTTTAGCAAGTGAATACGGCGTAGGCCGATCTACAACTTATGACATTAAAAGAAACCACGAGAAGATCAAGAAGTTCGTGTCAACTACTTACTGCGGGCCAGGCAAGAGACAGACACTCAAGAAAGCTGAACATCCAGAAGTGGAAGAAGCTTTGTACATGTGGTTTCTTCAGGAAAGAAAGAGGCATGCACCAATTTCCGGACCCATGTTGGCCATGAAAGCTAAGTTTTTTTATAAGGAAATAACAAACAAAGATGATTTTGTGGCCAGCAAAGGATGGCTAGAACGTTTTAAAAGTCGTCATGGCATACTATTACAGGAGAGAATCTTTCTAACGATGCCACCTGCATAGAGCCCTTTAAATTAAGATTTTTGCAAAAGGTGAACGATTTAAATCTTGACCCGTCACAGGTGTACAATGCAGACAAATCAGGTCTTTTTTTGACGTGTGATGCTTAACAAAACTTTCTTTTCTTGTAACGAAAAATCCGTACCTAGATGTAAAGTAAGTAAAGAGCGTGTAACCATACTACCATGTGCTAACGCTGCGGGCACACACGCGCTTAAGATGATGGTCATTGGGAAATCTAATAAACCACGGGCATTCAAAAACATTGATTTACCTGTACACTACTACGGACAAAAAAGTGCATGGATGACAAAAGACCTTTTCAAAAAGTGGTTTGATGAATGCTTCGTACCTAAAGTTAGAAAATGGTTAAAAGATCATAATTTTCCTCAAAAAGCGTGGTTGCTTCTTGATAACGCTCCCGGTCCTCCGTCTGAAGAAGAACTAACAATTGAGGATGTTTCTTCCGCCAAATTGCTCTGCACTGATTCAACCGATGGACAAGAATATTATTCAGTTTGTCAAGCAAGACTATAAGAAAAACCTACTTCTGAGACCAACCAATAGAAAAAACTTTAAAAGAATTTAATATGAAAGACTTGGTTTTTGCTCTTTGTCAGTCGTGGAATGCGTTACCGTCATCAACTATTAAATCGTCTTGGAAAAAGTTATGGCCAGATATAGTCACCACTCCTAGCAACGTTCTACAAATCAGTGTTACTTCGGAAGTTATAGAACAAGTCGCTACTGAAACACAGATA